GTTGTTATGCCGATGTCATCTCGGATAGGCCGAGGTTACCTCCTAAGATATCGGAATCCGAGATAAGCAGATGAGGGGCAAGAGTCCTAGAATGAGAGAAGACTTCAGTTTGTATTAAGATAAGACTCTTAGAGAGTTTATCCTAATCTTATTGGAAGTCCAAGATTAGCAGTAATCCTAAGTCCATAGAAGTTAGACTTCCATTGGGACTAGGATTGAGTTGGCTATAAAAGAGAGGCACCCCCATGGGTCTAAGGTATGTCTTTTTATACTCAAGCTAGTGAGTTTAGCACTATTGATTATCTTTGAGAGATATTGAGTACTGACTTGATCGTCGGAGTACCCCCGGATAGCGAACCACCATCGAAGTCTTCTCTTTCTGTTGCAGGTTAGTCGTGTGCCATCTATTCTGCCGGTGCTCTCCAGCTGGATACTAAGATTGCAGTGTGGTAAGATTTTCACCCCCACAATTTGGCACCGTCTGTGGGAAAGAAAGAAGAATAGATGGCCAATGACGGACAGAAGGATCAGATTGGAGACAATGCTCCTGCTGGGAGTGGGAGACCTATCAACCTCGACGTTGAAGGGGATGACCGCAACACAGAAACTCATGACCAGAGTCATGAAGTGAAAGACGCCGGCCAGAAAAGTGACGCACCAAAGACAACAGATCGAAGCGGATACTACAACGAAGATGACCTCCAGGTATGGAATGATAGATACCTGCGGAGGAACGAAGACCTTTCCAGAAGGGATGCAAAGACAGGGGACATAAACGCTCCCAAGGAGATAACATTCAAGTATAGAAGAACTCATCCTAAGTGAGCAGATCCCGAATTCCAGACCCTGGATCCCGAATCCTAGAAGACATGATCTCGGCCTAGGTGAGTAGGTCCGAGAAGAGAAGAGCTCAACCTGAGTGAGCAGATCCAAGATTCTAGCAGACAAGATCTCAACACTTAAGTCCGAGAAAAGAAGAGCTTAGTGAGCAGATCTCAGATCCCAGAAGATAAAAAAATAAAACACACAAGGTTAGACTGTAGTTAGCCAGGTTGAAGACCTTTTATAAGGTTCGGAAAGGAGTATGTGGAAGCCATACAGGGGGCAGAGAGAAGAAGAATATGTTTATCACTTGTTGAAATTTGTGAACAATTTACAAGTTGAAATTAAACCGAAATCATTGTTTAACACTTATTGAAATTTGTGAACAATTTACAAGTTGAAGTTAAACCGAAATCATTATTTAAACACTTGTTAAAATTCTGTGTGAATTTACAAGTTGAAGTTAAACCCAGATTATTGTTTAAACACTTGTTGAAATTTGTAGCAATTTACAAGTTGGTTAAACCAATATAATGTTTAACACTTGTTGAAATTTTGTGTGAATTTACAAGTTGAAGTTAAACCGAGATGATATTTAACACTTGTTGAAATTCTGTGTGAATTTACAAGTTGAAGTTAAACTGAGATGATATTTAACACTTGTTGAAATTCTGTGTAAATTTACAAGTTGAAGTTAAACCGATGTGATATTTAACACTTGTTGAAATTCTGTGTGAATTTACAAGTTTAAGTTAAACCGATGTCATATTTAACACTTGTTGAAATTCTGTGTGAATTTACAAGTTGAAGTTAAACCGATATGATATTTAACACTTGTTGAAATTCTGTGTGAATTTACAAGTTAAAGTTAAACCGAGATGATATTTAAGACTTGTTGAAATTCTGTGTGAATTTACAAGTTGAAGTTAAACCGAGGTCATATTTAACACTTGTTGAAATTCTGTGTGAATTTGCAAATTATAGTTAAACCGAGGTCGTATCGAAAGGAAGATGGTTTAACACTTATTGAAATTTTGAGAAAAATTTACAAGCTGAAGTTAAGCTGAGGTTATGATAAAGGATGATGGTTAAAACACTTGTTGAAATTTTTGAAAAATTTACAAGTTAAAGTCAAGCTCAAGCAATATCTGCGTATTTGCCGAGACTACCAGGTTGTCAAAACTTGAAATATGGAAAACTAAAGTCTTGATAGAAGATATTGAGAAAGTGACAAGTCCTAAGCAACACTTGTGAAAATATTTGTTACAATATTTTCAAGTGTTAGGACAAGGCCGAGATGAGCAAGATTAGAAGTTGTGACAGAGGTATTTTACCCGAAGAGATTGCACAGTCAAGGTGTACTTTGAAGACATACAAATTATTCTAAGTGTAGAGTCATACAAGAGCAGAAAAAAGAAGACATTCATTCAAAGAAGAAATTAGAGAAATGTATTTAAAGAAGAAAGAAGGCACTTCGGCCTGAATATTGAAAAATAAATTATTCAGACTACAAAAATGGCACGTCGGCCGGATTAAAAGCATACAGATAAGGACAAAGTACAAGGTACAAGGTACAAGGAGTAAAAGAATGAAACAAAACTACTTGGCATCAATGACAAGATATAGAAGACAGTTGGGAAGACTTCTCAGCAGCCTTCTCGGCCTCGAGCTCAGCATCGATCTCCCGAAGAGTTTAATCAAAGCTCTTTTTGGCGATTGGCACCTCAGAGTTTGAAGGCAAGGATTGAAAGCAAGAATCTAAAAAAAGACACAGAAAACAGAAACAAGAATGTAATTCGTAATCAAGAATTGTGATGAAGCTATCAGGAAATCAAGACAAAAAGATTGCACAGGTGTGTCAAGCCAAGAACAGTGGCAGAAATCAACAGATGTGTGAACAGTGTGTATTCAAGAAGATGATTTGGAAACAATGGGTAAAACAGCAATGGTGATTAACAATGAAGGAGAGCTTCTTGGAAAGTAACAAGAAATAAAACCAGGAGGAACAGTGGCTTACCAGAAAGAGGGAAGCCGGAATGAGAATTGCCGAAATCTGACGACGGATGTGAAAATGACAGAATGACGTAAGCTTCACCGGAGGAGAGAAACGAAAACAGTTACAGCACTTGAAAGCTTGGAACAATGACGGATTTAAGCAAAAGAGCTAGAAAGAGAAAAAGCCAGAGAATTGAATAAAAAAAGAAAAAAATCAGAGTCAAGAAGACGACAAAGTTCAAGAATAAAGCTAAGTGCACAGGCACTAAGTAAGTATGTGAAGAACAAGAAAGTAATGACCCAGACACGATGCTAGCAGCAGAAAGCGGATATGGCAAGAACAGTGCCAGGCGTTCAAACAATTCAAAACTTGAAAACAGACGAAAATAGAAGACAACAGAGGGCAAGTAAACAGATTTAGAAAAATTATGAAAGATTGAGCTTAATAAAAAAGTTTATGAACCCACCGAAGAATGTGAGTGGAACAGTTGCAAAGCTCTTGGAGTTTACGAATTAATGGAACAAGAACCTCGACTAGGAGGTGTGATCTCGAGTAGCTTGGAAAGCATAAAGCTTGATACTTGATAGAAGTGGACAGTAAAGTCCAGGGAACTTTGAGGTCAGCGAGTTTGATCTCGGACAGAGGGGTACAGATGAACGAACAGTGTAGGTTCCATCACCTCAGAATGCCGAGGTAATAGAACCTAGGGGGCAGTTGTGGGGATATATTTTCTGAGTACCAACACATGGCCAAGGTGACGCCGACGTGTCAGCCGAGGTGCCACGTGTCCTGGTTGTTATGCCGAGGTCATCTCGGATAGGCCGAGGTTACCTCCTAAGATATCGGAATCCGAGATAAGCAGATGAGGCGCAAGAGTCCTAGAATGAGAGAAGACTTCAGTTTGTATTAAGATAAAACTCTTAGAGAGTTTATCCTAATCTTACTGGGAGTCCAAGATTAGCAGTAATCCTAAGTCCATAGAAGTTAGGCTTCCATTGGAACTAGGATTGAGTTGGCTATAAAAGAGAGGCACCCCATGGGGTCTAAGGTATATCTTTTTATACTCAAGCTAGTGAGTTTAACACTATTGATTATTTTTTAGAGATATTGAATACTGACTTGATCGTCGGAGTACCCCCGGGTAGCGAACCACCACCGAAGTCTTCTCTTTTTGTTGCAGGTTAGTCATGTGCCATCTATTCTGCCAGTGCTCTCCAGCTGGATACTAAGATTGCAGTGTGGTCAGATTTTCACCCCACAATAAGATACAAATTCAGTCCAACCAAATAGTCCAGAGACAATGTATCTCAGGACTAACAGTCCGGTGGATTACAATCTCCCTTATCCAGTCCGTCAAACAAACACACCCTTTGGCCATATTTGTTTGGGCGGACATGTGTTTGGGATTGGACTAATAGTCCAATAAAATTATTAATCCGATGTTTGGTTAAAAATTTGAAATACGGACTAACAATCCATCCGAATATGATATCCCACGTATGATGGATTATTCAATCCCACAGAAGGGGTGATATATAAATTGGGAGACTAAGTCAAAGTCTTGACTAACTTATCAAATGACCATAATAAAGGTATCATGATCAATATATTGAATGTCTTATGTCTTGTTATGCCCTATCTATTCTAATCCCCTTAAACAAACATCGGATTGGATAATATTTTATTAATCTCTCCTTATAATCTTAACTAAATCCAAACATAGGATATGATACACATTCCAAATGGATTCATAGTCCTAGGACTATTAGTCATGAGAATGGTAATCCAACCCAATTCAGTCCACTCAAACAAACATGGCCTTTGATTTTGAATTTTTTAAAATAATTTTTGAATTTTATATTTTTCATATTTTGTTATTTTTAATAAAAAAATCATATCTTAGTCTTTAAAAATACTAAGATATAATTTTTTTTAGATGCGCCTAATATGATAAAATTTAATAAATACAAAAACTATCAATTTATATATATATATATATATATTGTAATTAGTAAAATTTTTAAAGATATTTTCATAAATTTTGTACTTTTTAAATGTGTCTAAATTAAGTGAATGTAGAAACTTAATAATAATAATAATAATAATAATTAAAATATTCAAAAAAATCACTAAAAATCGAAAAATACATATCCAAAACATGAAAACCTATCAGTTGCTGCGCTTTTGAAAAACATAACACTTTTACTTTAGACACATAATCAAGATATTGGAAACAATTTCATCTACAAGAAAATATGTTTACGGAGGTGGAACTTGGTAAACATATTGAACTTTTGATTCTAACAAAGAAACGTACTTATAGAGCAATGAAATTACGGCTTCAAATTCTGTCACTTGCTGCTCTATTGCATCAATTTGCTGAACATACTCATAAAAATTACCACTTTTGGACTTAAGCTGCTCCACGAAAACCCTTAACCTAGAAGCTACATCACCGAAGCCCTTGTACTCTTCTGCCACCTTGAGATTCATCTTCTCCAAAAGTTCTAGTTGATTGTTTGTCCCCTGAACCAAGATGAACAATTGGAAGTTAAAATCACCAAGATGAACAATTGGAAGATAAAATCATTTTTGCAGTAAGTGTATTTTTAAGAATACAATCTCCTCAGGTAAAATGAAATCATTTTCACCTGGCTTATGAAAAAAAAAAAAAAATGTGAAGCGACAACAGATTAAAGAATATAGTGGCTTTACAGCATCGGTTTGGAAGTCAGATTGGGAATGAGAATTATACTTCTGTGAAGAATAGAGCCCCCCATATTAAGAAGAAAAATTGGACGGCTCTAAAAAGTAGGGTTAAGAGTAGGAATCACAGCCACAAAGCAAGTCAGTGGCACTAGGAATTAGACATGGCTCAACCATTAAACCAATTAATCAGTCGCCTAAGGCCTAAAAAAATGTAAAAAGATTCTTATTCTCGTAGGCCCCAAATTTTAATAGACATAATAGAATAAGGTCTTTTTAAAGTTTAGCCTAAGGCTTCAAAAATTCTTGAGCCGCTATTGAAATGTACAGCTACGGAGATAAAGTCCCCTAATCAAAAGCCCATAAGCTCTTGATGCCAGCTTCATTTTTTGGCACTCTTTTCACGATAAAAACACTGTTGCAATTTGATGTCAATCTACGAGGGTTCTCTACCATTGATGATAGCACAGAAATCATCATTTTGTTTTGGTATGAAATCATATCCCGCTGATAAACTATATATCTTGTAAAAATCACTTTCTTCAATGTAATTATGTAACCGAAGCTAGATTGTTGAATTTGACTAGAAGGTTGTCTCTCACGATGAGACAAGATAAAACACTAAGGTAGCAAGTTTCATAAAATGTGCCACAAAAAAAAAAGAAAAAGAAAAAGAAAACCATTAATTTATTTTGGTAATTTTACAATGCAGACCAAGTGGACACCAAGAACTGCCCCAACTTAAATACATAGCAATATGACAAATTTTAGGATTATATCTAGGCATTTTCTTCTGTTGGAATCAAGATTGTTTATTGTTTTTTTTTGTTTAGATGGGGCGACTGTTTATTGCTTGACTAGTAGTGAAAAAATCCGAGAATGGAATTGTTAGTCTAAAAAATTGGGGGAAATAAAATTTAAAATAAAACAAAACATCAACATAAACAGTTCTTTGCAAAAATAAAGAAGACCAGAATTCAGAAAACTCAAACTGAAAGGATCAGGGTACCAAAATTGGTCAAAGAACTATTTGTCTTCTAGGGCAAACAATGTAAAAAATATGGATTCAGCCAAACACAACAAGAGACTTTGGATTAACATCATTAAAGAGAAACAAATGTAAAGGCAACTTGTGATAATTTGGGTACATGAGACGGAAACATGACTCGCGAGCCTTTCAACTTGACGGACAATGTGATGAAGTTATTGAAGCGTAATCAACTTGAAACCCGCTACCACGAGACACTATACTTACAGAAATTGGGTATCCCTAAAACATTTTTAGAGGTTTTCTCATATCAATGATGGAACACAATGAAAAATGCCCTCATTTTTTATTTGCTCAATCAACAAAAAATGCTCTCATACCTAGTTTCATTTTCCTACAAAATTTTCCTTTTGTTTCATGGCTTCGTTTGTCTAAGATGAAAATGATAGAAAGTGAAGGAAAGAGGAAAAAAAAATATGACTTTCATCTTTATGAGTTTGTTTAGCATGAAACATATTAACATGTAACTAACTTTCTAATTTCTTGCAAATTACACAAGAAAATGTGAATGTCTATATAAGGAGTAATTCATAACTAAAATTTCAAAATTTTCTATCTTTCCTTGCAAAATTTTCATCTTAATCAAATGTTTGCCATAAAATATCTTTTCTTTCACTTCATTTTCCATCACTTTCACTTTCCATCAAATTTTCTTCCAATCAAATGGAGCCATAGAGCGAGATGAATAGTTGGGTTCGGATAGTTCAGCTTGAAAGTGGTGAAAAGTAGAAGAAAACTAATTTTCTTGTACAACCCATATTAGCATTGTAACTAATTTTTTATTTCTTGCAAAAAAATACAAGAAAAATTGAATGTACAAGTTATCTATAACCAAACTTTTTATTTTTTTCTATCTTTTTCTTACAAATTTTTCATCTTAATGAAATGATTGCAATAAAATACATTTTCTTTTCTTTTATTTCATCTTTCTAATCAAACGAAGCCTTCCTTCACTTTCCAGATAACTTATGATCACAGGGTTAGAACCTCCCAAAGCAAGATTCGTTAACAAAAAAGAGTTTCAGTATTAGAGAGAATTATGAAATATAGGAATTAAATTCTTGCAATTAGATATCATGAATTACAAAAACCGATAAAATCACTATTTTTATTTTTATTTTTCTCTTTCAGATGCATATTTAACTATCTAAAGAGTTTTTCACTGCTTTTTGTCAATGTAATTAGTTCAAGATAACGAGATTCTGCGTGGAAATTTTCTGTATAAAAATAATCAATTCGCATATAAATTAATTTAAACCAGAAAGAATCAGCTAATTGTGATCTAATCAAAGTCTGAGGGCCAACCCTAACCCTAGAAGACGAGGTGACAAAATCTAGACTAGAGAGAGAAAGTGCAGATATATATATATATATATAGAGAGAGAGAGAGAGAGAGAGAGAGAGAGAGAGAGAGGAGGAAGTACCTGAAGCTCGGCTTTGATAATGGTGGAGAGATTGGAGAAGAGACCTTTGAGAGACTCCGCAAGTTCGTCTCGCTCCTTCTCCTCCTCCCCAGACATGCCTTGAGCCCCCGGTTCTCAACACTGATCTGCATTCGGCAAGATTTTACCAAAACGCCGCGATGTTATCTTTTTGTTTTGGTGAAATGTTAGGGCTCATTTTTAATAAAAGACTTTTCATGATATCTAAATTATTATTTGTTTTGTTTTTATTTGGCCACCAATCCCATTTTTTACCTAGGGCAAATAAATAAATTAGGAAAAATTACATATCTTTAAAAAACAAAGAAGAAAATCAAAACAACGAACAAAATTATACATGTTAATAATTAAATTTATAAGTTTAATAAATTATACAAATTTCACTTAAAATTTAGGAGATGTTTGAGAATTTAATATTTTAGACACAAAATCAATACAATAAAACAATTTATTCTTTCTATTTTTTATAAAAAAATTAAAAATTACTTAAAAACTCAATTTCCAAACAAACTTTTAAAATTTATTCAAGGAAAAACAAACCTCTAAAATATATATATATATATATATATATATAGAATGTGAACTTTACAATTCTATATAATTATATTGTACCCTCTTAATAATTAATTCATGTAATATGTATTTTCCTTCCATTCAATATTCTTTAAGGTTGTGTTTGATTTAAGAATTTGGAAAAATAAATAAAAAATACAACTAAAATATATTTATATTTTATCTAATTTTATACAATTTTTTTTTTTAATTTCTAAATCCCTCCCCAAATTCATGAACTAAACCCAATGGAAAAATATGTGGGAAATATAAGTAAAATCATTCACATTTCACATTATTTTTCTTTTTCTCTTTTCAATTCTCTATTGAAATCCATGAACCAAACACAATGTTAGGAAATTATTTGAGACCCTTAATAAAGGGTATGGCTTCTGTCTAGTCCGGGATCGGACTGGACCGTGCTGTTGAGCCCGTGGGAGCCCACCACGGGTCCCGTTTTGATAATCTGAACCGTTCAATGTGTAGAAATCGTCGAGTACTATATGTTTGTAAAAAATCACGTTGATCAGATATCGATAGCTATGTGATCAAAACAGTTTTTTGTCAACCGTTAATTTGTTCACCGTCCAATTTTTTTAATACGAAACTAATTTGATCATATAGCTATCGATATCCGATCAACGTGATTTTTTACAGGCATATAGTACTCGACAAGTTTTACACATTGAACGGTTCAGATTATCAAAATGGGACCCGTGATGGGCCCCCATGGGCCTAATAGCACGGTCCAGTCCGATTCCGAATTGGACAAAAGCCATACCCCTTAATAAAACCCCCACTATTTCACACAATGATGTGGAATAATAAGTGTTAATTTTTTATTTGTCACACACTCAATCATGTAGAACTCTACTTCCTTGCCACGTCATTGTGAGTGTGTTTGGGAATCTCAAATGTGAATCTTTAGCATTATTGCTTTATTAATTGTATGAATAAATAAATAATATTATCATATTCTTTTATATAAAAACATTTATTTTGCTTTTGATTATTTAGGTGTTTATATGTAATCCACATTAATTCTGATTGTTTTACAATTGTTAAAATATAAGTTAATGTAATCAAATCAAATTTAAAAGGCCCGTGTAGAGAGCTAGCAAACAAAATTCAAATTTGTAAACCTATCTGATTACCCTCATTAAAATCTGATTTTAAATCTGTGGGGACATATTTTTTGAATAACGAAACACGTAACCAAGGTGGCACCGAAGTGCCAACCGAGGTGTCACGTGTCTTGGTCATAGTGCCGAGGTGATTTCGGCTAGGCCAAGGTTATCTGTGGAGAGACCGGAATCCGAAATGAACGGATAAGGGACAAGAGTTCTAGAACGGGGGAGGACCTTAGCCTGGATAAGGATATAACTCTTAGGGAGATTATCTTTATCTATTGGAGAGTCCAGGATAAGTATTGAGTCAGAGTTTAAGGAGAGCTAGGCTTCTACAGGGATCAAGTTAGTGCTGACTATAAAAGAAGGGCAACCTCGTGGGTCTAAGGTACACTTTTTATATTCTGACTTGTGAGTTAAGTACAATTGGTTATCTTTGAGAGATATTAATTACTGACTTGATCGTCGGAGTGCCCCCAGGTGGAAGAACCACCACTGGAGTCTCATCTTTCTATTGCAGGTCATTTGGGCGTAATCTATTCTAGCGGTGTTCTCTAGTTGAGTACCTATTTGGCAGTGTGGTCAGAAAATGACACATACAATTTGGCGCCGTCTGTGAGAAAGAAATGAGAATAAATGGCCAACGATGGACAGAAAGAAAAGATCGTGGACAACATCCCTACTGGAAGTGGTAAACACTTTGATCTTAACGTAGATGAGGATAACTGCAACGAAGAAACTCGGGATCAGAACCCCGGAGAGAAGGACGTCAACCAGGAGGGAGACGTACCTAAGAAGGCAGACCGTGGAAGATATTATAATGAGGACGACCTCCAGGTATGGAAAGATAGATGCCTGCGGAAGAACGGAGAGATGAAGGGAATGACGAATAAATTGGCGGACCTGCAATCAATCGTCAATTTCATGATGCAGAACAATATCATGCAGCCACTGTTTCTGTTACAAGACACGCTGATTCTAGCGGCCCAGAACAATGCCCGCAACGGAGGTGGGCAGAAAACAGTCCCTATAGTCCCCCAACACACCAGGACCAAGAAACACTCTCACCGACCTTCAAGGGAGATTGGGCGAGGAGAGTCAATGAAGGGAGATTCTCAGAGGACGCATCGTACCAAAGAAGCTGGCCCCAAAAAACATCGGCATGTTCAAGGGAAGGAACTTTGTTTCGACGCAACTAATGGAGAGAGATCCAAGAGGACTCATAACGACACCGGGAGTAGCGCACCAAAAAGGCTAAAATTCGTTGATAGCCGAGCTCCTGGACGGACCAAGGAGGATCTGAGGGATTACCTCCAGAGGAAACGACAAGATGCAGAGGTAACCTCACCGCTAAAGCCGAGATCGTCGTTCTCGGTAGAATTGGACAAGTTTGAGGCCTCGAAGAGGTTCCATATGCCGAGATTCTAGATATACGACGGTAAGTCTGACCCTAACTTTCACGTCGGATTGTACCTGAACTCAATGGCACTGTACACCGGGAACGAGCCATTGCTCTGCAAAGTGTTCCCCTTATCCTTTGGGGAAATCGCATCAAACTGGTTTCACAAGTTGTCAAAAAGAACTGTGAAAAGCTGGGAAGGCCTAGTCGAGATGTTCGTGGCTAGATTTGTGACAAACAAACTACAGTCATTGAGAGTGGATTCCCTGATGACTCTAAGAATTGGCGAGGATGAAAGCCTTAGGGCCTATGCTAGAAGGTATTATGAGGTGTTTAACCGAATACCAGGATGCAACCAAGAGGTGGCGGTCGTGTCTTTTAAGAACGGCCTGAAAGATGATTGTTTGCTTTGAAAATCATTGGCAAAAACACTGCCACCAAAAAGTATGGAGGAATTAATGGCCAGAATAGAGAAGTACGCCAGAGCCGAGGAAGACACGCCAGGGACAAAGGCATCAAAATAAGAAAAGAGAAACAGCTCGCCAAAGTGAGGCTGAGGTAACACTGGATACAACAAGCAAGAGACAGGACTGAGGGCTGCACAAGCAATCACAACCGTATTCTGAATTCCGGTTTACAAAGTCTTGGAAAGAATCTGGAATCAACCCTATTATAGAGCACCAGAGAAACTTCCTGGTGAATTTATGGAAAGAAGTTTGGGGAAACACTGTGCCTACCACAACGAGGATGGGCATCTAACTCAAGGGTACAGAGCCCTAAAGGCACATCTAGAAGACCTGGTAAGGCAAGGTCATCTAAGGGGCCTGGTAGATGAAACCAGGACAAGGGAAGAGCAAGCGAGACTGCCTCAGGCACCGGTAGCACCACCTCCACCAGCACCACAACCGCAAGTAGGCAGACCTCGAGTGATCAATGTGATTCACTCAAAGGTCAATGAGAACGAGATATGTGAGGAAACTCAGAAGGTAAAACACTTGCAACATGTGTATCAGGTCCAGCAGAAGAGACCTAGGGCAGACGAGTGCCAATGACTAGTGGTGTCCTTTACTGAAGACGACCTAGAAATGGTGTAGTATCCACACAACGATGCCTTGGTAATATCCCTCCAAATTGGAGAGCGCCAAGTAAAGCGAATTCCGATCGACCAGGGCAGCTCTTGTGACATCATGTATGTCAGATGTTACAAGGAGCTTGGCCTTCACCAAGATGATCTGGAACAATCCAATGGTCCAATGGTTGGGTTCAAAAGAACACCGACGTGGCCCCTAAGAGCAATAAGTTTAGAGGTGCAGGTTGGCACCAAGAAGGTAAAAATTGAGTTCACAATAATTGACACTCTCTCCTCTTACAATGCTATCCTAAGAAGGCCATGACTGCATGCAATGAGGGCTATTCCCTCAACATTGTACCGGCTGTTGCGATTCCCAACAGAGCATGGAATTGAGGAGGTCAAAAGGGATCAAGTGCAGGCAAAGAATTGCTCCATGACAGCAATAAAATCCACCTGCAACATACGAGAAGCAGAAGCAGCAGAGATTGAAGATGAGGACATGGAGGTCCTTGACGACATCGGCAAAGAACCAGCTGAGAAAAGTGAGGAAGCCCTGAAGAAGATCTTAGTCCAGTAAAGGGATGAAGAGTGTTTCTTCCTCCTCGGCTCAAGCTTGGCCGAAGAAGAAGAAAAGAAATTAGAAGCATTCTTGAGAGCAAACCTTGAGGTGTTTGCTTGGACACCGTATGAGATGCCTGGCATTGACTCCGAGCTCACTTGCCATAAACTGAATGTGGACAGGTCGGCTAAACTTGTCATCCAGCGAGTAAGGAGGCCGACGTTGATACATGTTGAGGCAGTAGAAAAAGAAGTGGATAAACTTCTAGAGGCTAGAGCAATTCGAGAGGTAAACTACCCAACATGGTTATCAAACACGGTTGTTGTGAAGAAAAAGAATGAGAAGTGGAGGGTCTACGTGGACTTCACCAGCCTGAACAAGGCTTGTCCCAAAGACAGTTTCCCGTTACCCAAGATTGACCAATTGGTGGATGCCACTTCAGGGCATGGAAGGATGAGCTTTTTGTACGCTTACAGAGGATATCATCAGATAGCCATGTACCCCCCAAATAAGGAGAATATTGCATTTATCACCCCAAAAGGGATGTATGAAAAATGCAGGAGCAACTTACTAGAGATTGGTGACTAAGATGTCCAGGTATCTAATAGGCAAAACAGTGGAGGTATACATTAATGACATGGTCATGAAGACCAAGAAACCTGAGAATCATCTGGCCGACCTGAAGACAGTCTTTGATATCCTAAGAACATTTCGACTCCGACTCAATACGTCGAAGTGCACATTTGGAGTTGGGTCAAGGAAGTTTCTGGGATACCTGGTCACTAGAAAAGACATTGAGGCAAGCCCGGATCAAATCAAGGCCATTCTGGAGTTAGAGAGCCCAACATTGGCAAAACAAGTACAGATGCTGACTAGAAAGGCTGCAGCCCTAAACAAATTCATAAGCAGAAGTTCTGATAAATGCAAACCTTTCTTCAGTTTAGTAAAGAAAGCCACAGACTTCTTATGGATAGAGGGGTGCAAAGTCGCCTTGGCCGACTTGAAGAAATACTTAACCATAGCTCCAGTTCTCTCAAATCCAGTACCTGGAGAGGAACTGTTCTTATACTTGGCGGTCTTAGAGCATGCAATAAATGCAGTGATAATTGGGGAAGATAAGGGAGAACAGAGGGCAGTCTACTACTTGAGTAAGACCTTAACAGATGCAGAGACCAGATACTTACCCTTGGAGAAGCTGACACTGGCTTTGGTAATGGCCTCCAAGAAGCTAAATCATTACTTTCAAGCCCACAAGATTGTGGTGTTAACAGAGCATCCTTTGAAGTCCCTATTGTAGCGAGGAGATCTGACAGGTAGGATAGCCAAATGGGCAGTGGTGTTGGGCCAATATGACCTGGAATTCAGACCCAGAACAGCAATCAAATGCCAAGTTTTGGCCGACTTCGTGGCCAAGTTCACACCAGGCGCCATCATACATTGGGCTCCATTGAGCCGAGGTATACGATGTCTAGGTGAACAAAGAGAAACCCAGTCGGGATAGCCGAACAGAGGAAAGAAGAGAAACTCAGGCGCTGTAGTATTTACGTCGATGACTCCTTCTGTCTGTTTGTTGACGGAAGTTCAAACCGACAAGGAGCGGGGCAAGAGTAGTGCTAGTATCGTCAGTTGAATAGATGCTGGAATAATCCATTCATTTGGGGTTTAAGGACTCAAACAACGAAGCAGAGTATGAAGCACTGATAGTAGGATTAAAGTTAGCAGCAGCAATGGAAACCGAAGAAGTAATGGCCTTCTGTGACTCCTAACTTATCGTCAATCAGGCAATAGGCGAATACGCTGCCCGAGATGAAAGGATGGTGGCCTATATAAAGGAGGTGGGCAGACTGATAGTATTGTTCCAAAATTACCGACTATAGCAAGTTAGCCAAGATGATAACAACCATGTTAATGCCTTGGCCAACCTGGCTAGTGCAATGAAACCAGGAGAGGCAAGGACAATAATGGATGACTACTTATCAGGTCCAAGTGTAGAACCACTGAACATAGAGCATGAAGTAATATTGTGTGTAGAGATGGGACCAAGCTGGATGGATGCAATAATAGTATTCCTTAAAGAGGGAAAACTGCCAGATGATCATAAAAAAGCACATAAGATCAGACTTAAGTCAGCAAGATTCAGTCTGACAGCAGAAAGGCATCTCTACAGAAGATCTTTTATTGGACCTCTTTTGAGGTATGCACATCCTTCACAAGTTAAAGACTTCTTATATGAGATACATGAAGGAGTATGTGGGAGCCACACTGGGGGCAGGTCACTTGCTCATAAGGCCATTACTCAGGGATACTGGTGGCCCTATATGCAGAAAGATGCTGAAACTTATGTCAGAAAGTCTGAGAAGTGTCAGAGGTTTACACCTTTGATATACCAACGAGCAGCAGATATAAACTCAGTATCCAACCCTTGGCCATTTGCCCAATGGGGCATGGATCTTGTTAGATAGCTGCCTCAGGCAACCGGGCAAAGAAAGTTCCTGCTAGTGACAACAGATTACTTTACCAAGTGGGTTGAAGCTGAACCCCTCGCAAAGATTCGAGATATTGATGTAAAGAACTTCATATGGAAGAACATCATCACCACGTTTAGGATCCCAAGGGCAATAATAGCAGACAATGGTACGTAGTTTGATAGTAAGCTAATCAAGAGCCTCTGTGCAAAGTACAAGATCAAAAATTATTACTGTCACGACCCAAACCCGTCCCTGTAGGTTTAGCACCGTAACTGGCCAGTAATCCGTGAATTACCAAAGGCCTCTGAACAGATTAGCGAGTAATAAGGGGCTGCAGAAGCAATAATACAAAATAGACAAGATCCAATGAGCTGTGATAACGTACATGGGACGGAACATTTCAAAACTTACTATAGAAATATAAGCATGCCAGTCCGGATACACAATATTTACAAATATTTACAGAAGTGAACTTCCTAAGATCTGACTTTACAAACAGTTACAGAGACTAGCATGAAAATAAAAACAGCCCTGGCGTTAGACTTCGGACGGAACCTCCTTGGGAGGCACAATGGTTGGCTGACCAAAAACAGTACAAAAAGACGTTAACTCTGGCCCTGGTCATGTGCCGGCTCACCTACATACATAATATAAACTGTGAGCGAAAGCCTAGTGAATAATAACAGAGTAAAGGGGTTATATGAATGATGTCCAGCACAAGTTAGAATCCAGCATTTAAATCAGAGCATAATCAGACTTCAAACAGAAACAGATTCATATACATTTACATATGTAGATTTCGCATAAGATCATACGTGGTACACCCATTAGCTATTAGATCAGATTGGTCCAGAGACCCACATACATAGTTGGTACCAACGACCATAAAGGTCCATATCTTGCGCGCAAATAGCCATGGTATTGTTACCCCCAGGCAAGGGCCACGTGCAGATTGGCTGCGGTATTGTTACCCCCGGGCGAGGGCCAGATACAGATTGGCCGCAGTATTGTTACCCCCGGGCGAGGGCCACGTGAACTAAGGGTGCCACAAATACTTTTCAGAAGACTGGACATTCATTAATAATTCGTAAGATAACATTTCAGAAAATAGATCATACAATACCAGGTAGAAAATACCTAAGTTGAACATAACTTTACAGAGTTATTACTCACAGTGGGCTTGGAGACAGACAGACAGAGCAGATCGATCAGACAAGACGTGGCACGTGACCTACATGACACATAACAGATGCACACTTGAAGCATACGTTCTAATTGTACAAAACTTATTTCATGGCTCTTAGTGTGTTTTTAATCTCTTACCCTCACTATAGAGTCTAAAACATGGCCTAGGAATGCCTAGGATGGAATGAAGATGCAAAGATGCGCTTTAAAACACTTTTCAAAATTTTGCTGAAACAGGGGTCCCGCTCGAGCGTGGCCTTCTACGCTCGAGCGGACATGTAGACAAAAGGAATCTGCTCGAGCGTGGATTACTCCGCTCGAGCGGACTGCAAGCTACAATAAAAGTACTGGATGCATGAAATTCACGCTCGATGGCCACTCGATACCTGCTCGAGCATGAGACACAAGTCCTCGCTCGAGCGTGCATTACCCCACTCGAGCAGACTGTAAACACAGGCAAAGTACTAGATACACGAAATTCCCGCTCGAGTGTCATTTTACCCGCTTGAGCGTACTGCATGAACCGAGTATGTACGCTCGAGCGTGGAGTTCCCCGTTCGAGCGTGAGTCCAAAATCTAGAATTTCCAGATTCAAACCTCAAGCTCAAAACTCAACTACAATGCATCAAATTCGATCCTTTTAGGCTAATTTTCTGCAAAACACTTGTAAACTCATAATATGACATGTTTCAAAGATCAATTTGAGAAATGAAAGCCCAAAGGTAGTTCAATTAAACACAATTTTCAAATAAACTTCAAGAACATGAAGAACAATGCAAATTCAACACATGCATGGTTTCCTTGAAACTCCAAAGTTCTAAAACAAGATCAAATGCAAGATTTAACTTCAAAACATGGTGAGTTCATGGACTATAACAAAAATGTGGACATGCATGCAAGAATTCCTACTCAATTCAACATTTAGAACCAAAACTTGACTCTAAACTCTAGTTCACCATGAACCATGCAAGAAGTAACTCAAAATCACAATGGAGAAGATGAATTCTCTACCTTAAACCTTGAATTCCAAGTCTAGGAGCTTAAATTTGCAAAGCCTCTTTAATTCTCCTAAGTTCCAAGCCAAATCTCTTGTTGAAGCTAAGTTTTCTCTTCTCTTACTCTTTCCTACGTTTTTGGTCACAAAAATGGCTGAGGAAATGTTATGAAGTGTATGCAATTGAGTTCCAAGCAATGGTACCTAAGTAGCCCACTAATGGCAATGTCGTAAATAATTGAACTAATGTAATTTAACGTTATTTAATCTAATGTAATTGCTCCGAACTGAATTTTAATTAAACTTACCATAAAATTCTATAAATCCTAACTAGCACATAAATCAAGTCGATTTCTGGTTCAGGCGCCGATAAGGCTTTCAATTCGCAATTTAAAGTCAAAGACATGAACATATCATTTTATCACAAACAGATAGAAACACATAAATAATGCAATACACATGTAAATAAATCCCAAATCCTTCCTAAATTACTATTAAGCATAATTAATCATGAATTAGCATTAATCAGAGGTCAGGGTCATTACAGTCTTCCCCCCTTAAAAGAGTTTGGTCCTCTAAACTCGAATTACCTTCATTATGAATCAACATTGGGTCCAATGGAAACAATTCTGAATATCTCTTCATCATGTCTTTCTCGGTTTCCCAAGTTGCATAGGTTCGTCCGTGGTTTTGCCAGTCAACTTTTACTAGTGGTATTCCTTTATTTCTCAATCTTTTGATCCGGCGATTCACAATCTGGATAAGTCTTTCCTCATAAGTGTAGTCATCTTTCAAAAGTACATGTGTCGGTTCAATGACGTGAAGTGGATCTCTCAAATATTCTCATAGCATCGGCACATGAAAGACGTTATGCATATGTTCCATTACTGGAGGCAAGGCTACCCGATACGATACCGGATTGATCTTTTCGAGGACTTCATAAGGTCTAACATATCTTGGCGCCAATTTTCTCTTAACACCAAAACGAGTTTGACCCTTCATCGGGGTCACCTTTATGAACACGTGGTCCGCAACTTCATATTTCCTAACTCTTCTTCGGACATCGGCATAGCTTTTTTGCCGACTCTATGCAGTTTTTCAGGCGTTGCTGGATCAGTTTCACTTTCTCGGTTGTTTCTTGCACAAGTTCCGGTCCCAACAGAGGTCTATCGCCTACTTCAGCCCAACATAACGGAGATCGACATTGTCTTCCATACAAAGCTTCGTAAGGAGCCATTCCAATGCTTGAAATGGTAACAGTTGTTGTACACAAATTTGGCTTATGGCAAGTAGGTCTCCCAATTCCCTTAGAAGTCTAACACACACATTCTGAGCATATCCTCCAGAGTTTGGTTCGTTCGTTCAGTTTGGCCATCTGTTTGTGGGTGATAGGCACTGCTCAGTCTCAATTTAGTCCCCAAAGCCTGTTGCAAACTCTGCCAAAATCTCGATACAAACTTTGAGTCCCTGACAGACACAATAGATACTGGCACTCCATGCAATCTCACAATTTCATTCATATAGATATTGGCCAATTTATCAGCATTATAAATAGTTTTGATAGGCAAAAAATGGGCAGACTTAGTTAAACGGTCAACTATAACCCAGATAGAGTCCATACCTCGAGAAGAACGAGGCAATCCTACAATGAAGTCCATAGTAATGTGCTCCCATTTCCATTTCAGTATTGGGAGCGGTTGTAGCAAATCAACGGGTCGTTGATGCTCAGCTTTAACCTGTTGGCAATGTAGATATTTAGCCACAAAGTCTGTAATACTCTTTTTCATTCCAAGCCACCAAAAATTCTGTTTCAAATTATGATACATCTTCGTGCTCCCCGGATGCATAGCAAACTTACTACTGTGAGCTTCGGTCATATCACGTTTCCTTAAATCATTGCAATTGGGTACACAAAGACGGTTCTGAAATTTCAGCTCATCATTCTCAAACACAAATCCTAGACTTGGCTTCGAATTAAATTCCTCTATGATCTTTTTCAAGTATTCATCTTCACATTGTTTTTGTTTGATATCATCAAGAATAGCAGGTTGAGCAGAAATAGCAGATAACAGCCCATCTTGTTCTAGGTCATTTGGCAATTCTTTTCAGTTGGACAACAAACATGACAAACTTGCACCGAATTTTCGGCTCAAGGCATCTGCTACGGTATTAGCCTTTCCTGGGTGATACAAGATTTGTAGATCATAATCCTTGATTAACTCTAACCATCGCCTCTGTCTCATATTCAATTCCTTTTGGGTGAAGAAGTATTTCAAGCTCTTATGGTCTGTGTACACCTCGCAAGTTACCCCATACAAATAGTGACGCCATATTTTCAGAGCAAACACCACAGCCGCTAATTCAAGATCATGTGTTGGGTAATTCTTTTCATGAGGTCAAAGTTGTCTAGAAGCATAGGCAATCATCCTTCCGTTTTGCATTAGTACATACCCCAAGCCTTTATAAGAAGCATCACTATACACTTGAAACCCATCAGTACCATTAGGCAAAGTTGAGATTGGTGCAGTCACTAACCTGGTTTTCAACTCTTGGAAAGCTACCTCCCTTTGTTCATTCCAGTCAAATAGCACATTTTTCTGAGTTAATTGAGTCAATGGCAGGGCAAGCTTGGAAAAGTCTTTCACAAACCTCCAGTAGTAACCTGCAAGTCCTAGAAAACTTCGGACTTCTGTCATATTTGTTGGTCTAGGCCAATCCACAACGACTTCAATTTTCTGAGGGTCAATAGAAACTCCATCCTTGTTGATTACATGTCCCAAAAATGCCACACTGTCAAGCTAGAATTCACACTTGGACAATTTAGCATACAATTTCTTTTCTCTCAAAATCTGCAAGGTGGTTCTCAGATGGTTCTCATGTTCTTCCCTGTCTTTAGAATAAACCAAAATGTCATCAATAAATACAACAATGAAATCATCCAGATATAATTTAAACACCCTATTCATAAGGTCCATGAAAGCTGCAGGTGCATTGGTCATCCCAAACGGCATCACTAAAAAGTCATAATGTCCATATCTAGTTCGAAATGCAGTTTTCTCTATGTCCTCAGCTCTAACCTTTAGTTGATGATACCCAGACCTGAGGTCAATTTTGGAAAACACTTGGGCACCCTGAAGTTGATCAAACAAGTCATCTATTCAGGGCAAAGGGTATTTGTTCTTGATAGTCACTTTATTCAGTTCCCGGTAGTCTATACACAATCTCAAAGATCCATCATTCTTTTTGACAAACAAGACTAGAACACCCCAAGGTGAAGTACTCGGACGGATAAATTTCTTGTCTAACAGTTCCTGAAGTTGGGTTTTCAATTCTTTCAGTTCAGAGGTAGACATTCTATAGGGAGTCTTGGAAATAGGTTGTGTCCCCAGAAACACTTCAACAGTGAATTCAATCTCCCTATCAACTAAGTCCCTAGGCAAGTCAGTGGGAAACACATCGGAAAATTCACAAACGACAGGGATTGTTTCTGTAGTAGTACTATCAGATGGTGCAGTCAGTATACAACACAAGTAACCCCTACATCCCTTCCTAAGAAGTTTTACAGTTTTCATAGCCGAAATCAAATACGGGGAAGGAACTACCCCATTCCCAATAAAAGTAAATTTAGGCATACCCGGTGGTCTAAACACAACAGTTTTATTTGCACAGTCAATGGTAACACAATATTTAGTCAACCAGTCCATCCCCAAAATACAATCAAAATGACTAATATCCAAGGGTAATAAATCCACATATAACACCATATCACCAATCATAATATCACACGCCGGATAAACATGAGTACACATCATAGAATCCCAAACGGTGTGGATACAGATAACACATATGTCATTTGTTCTAGTGGTCTAGTCAATTTTCCAGAGAAAGCATGCGATACAAAGGAATGCGTAGAACCAGAATCTATTAGTACACATGCATTTTGAGAACATACAGAAAGTGTACCTGACACCACAATATAGGTGTTAGGTACGTCACTAGGCACTAAGGCGAACACTCTTCCTTGCCTTAATGTTTCATTATTTGCATTCCCTTTAACATCAGTCCTTGCATTTGGTCTTGCTGCGGAAACAGACCCGGTGGAACTTGTCATAGGACTGTTAACCTCATTGGATCTCATCGGGCAATCCCTCACCATGTGGCCAGTCTTGCCACAGCGAAAACACACATCTGATGCTCGAAAAGAGGCACCCATGTGCTTCTTTCCGCAATCGGGGCAGTTTGGAGTAGATTCGCTACTTTGGCCTATATATTGCCTTTTCGAAAACGACCGGCCTTTCTCGAAACTGGGTCCAGTCCTCTTTCCTCTTCATTCTGTTGTTGGTGTTGTAGTTTGTTTCTTAGCTGCTATTGTGGCTTCTACCATCAATGCCCTGTCAAGTACCTCCACATAAGTAGGTAACTTTAGGACACCCATTCGGTCAAATATTTCTAGGTCCAGTCCTCCCTCAAACTTCCGTGCTTTCTTGTAATCAGTATCCACCATATGTGGAGCAAAACGCGCCAACTCAGTGAATTTGGCTTCATATTCTGCTACAGTCATTCTTCCCTATTTAAGTTCTTGGAATTCCGACACTTTCCGATCACTAAAACATTGGGAAAAGTACTTGTCGTAAAAGATAGCATTAAACTGTGCCCACGTCATATTCCCATTGCCATTTCGGATCAGTAACCACCACCTGCGAGCTTCATCCTTCAAAGTGTAGGTGGCTAGGAGGAATTTTTGAGTTTCGGTACAAGGGAACACTTCATACAACTTCTCTATTTCAAGTAGCCACGTCTCTGCTTTCAAAGGTTCAATTCCACCATAGAACGTTGGTGGTTTCATTTTCATAAATTTCTGTGTCAGATTGATGATGTCAGCATTATCTACCTCGGCTTGTGCCGATGGAGGCAGAGGGGGCAAAGGTTGTTGCCTCTGTTGTTGTGTCCAGGCTTCAATCAACGCTGCTAACATCTGTTCCATTCGGCCCATGCGAGCCTCTGAAGATTCACTTTCACCACTTCCCCTTGCATTGTCCATCTTACTATACAGACATCAAATGATAATAAACACAGGCATAATTTTATTCGTTTCCTTCAATTCATTTGATTCAAATGTACATTTCGTTTTCATATTTAGTTGAATTACCACACACTCACACATGCAGATGGAATGCCCCTAACTCTTACTAGGACATCCTAAGCTCATACGGACCTGTGTGTGCAGTAGAACACGTGCTCTGATACCACTCTGTCATGACCTAAACCTGCCCCTGTAGGTTTAGCACCGTAACCGGCCAGTAATCCATGGATTACCAAAGGCCTCTGAACAGATTAGCAAGTAATAAGGGGCTGCAGAAGCAATAATACAAAATAGACAAGGTCCAATGAGCTGTGATAATGTACATGAAATGGAACATTTCAAAACTTACTATAGATATATAAGCATGCCAGTCTGGATACACAATATTTACAAATATTAACAGAAGTGAACTTCCCAAGATCTTACTTTACAAACAGTTACAGAGACTAGCATGAAAATAAAAACAGCCCTGGCGTTAGACTTCGGACGGAACCTCCTCGGGAGGCACAATGGTTGGCTGACCAAAAACAGTACAAAAGGGCGTCAACTCTGGCCCTGGTCATGTGCCGGCTCACCTACATACATAATATAAACTGTGAGCGAAAGCCCAGTGAATAATAACAGAGTAAAGGGGTTATATGAATGATGTCCAGCACAAGTTAGAATCCAGCATTTAAATCAGAGCATAATCATACTTCAAACAGAAACAGATTCATATACATTTATATATTCAGATTTTGCATAAGATCATATGTGGTACACCCATTAGCTATTAGATCAGATTGGTCCAGAGACCCACATACATAGTTGGTACCAACGACCATAAAGGTCCATATCTTGCGCGCAAGTAGCCATGGTATTGTTACCCCTAGGCAAGGGCCACGTGCAGATTGGCCGCGGTATTGTTACCCCCGGGCGAGGGCCACGTGAACTAAGGGTGCCACAAATACTTTTCAGAAGATTAGACATTCATTCATAATTCGTAAGATAGCATTTCAGAAAACAGATCATACAATACCAGGTAGAAAATACTTAAGTTGAACATAACTTTATAGAATTATTACTCACAGTGGGCTTGGAGACAGACAGACAGAGCAGATCGATCAGACCAGACGTGGCACGTGACCTGCACGACACATAACAGATGCACACTTGAAACACACGTTCTAATTGTACAAAACTTATTTCATGGCTCTTAGTGTGTTTCTAATCTCTTACCATCACTATAGAGTCTAAAACATGGCCTAGGAATGCCTAGGATGGAATGAGGATGCAAAAATGCGCTTTAAAACACTTTTCAAAATTTTGCTAAAATAGGGGTCCCGCTCGAGCGTGGCCTTCTACGCTCGAGCGGATATGCAGACAAAAGGAATCCGCTCGAGCGTGGATTACTACGCTCGAGCAGACTGCAAGCTACAGTAAAAGTACTGGATGCATGAAATTCACGCTCGATGGGCGCTCGATACCCGCTCGAGCATGAGACACAAGTCCTTGCTCGAGCGTGCATTACCCCGCTCGAGCGGACTGTAAACACAGGCAAAGTACTGGATACATGAAATTCCCGCTCGAGCGTTATTTTACCCGCTCGAGCGTACTGCATGAACCGAGTATGTACGCTCGAGCGTGGAGTTCCCCGTTCGAGCGTGAGTCCAAAATCTGGAATTTCCAAATTCGAACCTGAAGCTCAAAACTCAACTACAATGCATCAAATTCGATCCTTTTGGGCTAATTTTCTGCAAAACACTTATAAACTCATAATATGACATGTTTCAAAGATCAATTTGAGAAATGAAAGCCCAAAGGTAGTTCAATTAAACACAATTTTCAAATAAACTTCAAGAACATGAAGAACAATGCAAATTCAACACATGCATGGTTTCCTTGAAACTCCAAAGTTCTAAAACAAGATCAAATGCAAGATTTAACTTCAAAACATGGTGATTTCATGGACTATAACAAAAATGTGGACATGCATGCAAGAATTCCTACTCAATTCAACATTTAGAACCAAAACTTGACTCTAAACTCTAGTTCACCATGAACCATGCAAGAAGTAACTCAAAATCACAATGGAGAAGATGAATTCTCTACCTTAAACCTTGAATTCCAAGTCTAGGAGCTTAAATTTGCAAAGCTTCTTTAATTCTCCTAAGTTTCAAGCCAAATCTCTTGTTGAAGCTAAGTTTTCTCTTCTCTCACTCTTTCTTACGTTTTTGATCACAAAAATGACTGAGGAAATGTTATGAAGTGTATGCAATTGAGTTCCAAGCAATGGTACCTAAGTGGCCCACTAATGGCAATGTCGTAAATAATTGAACTAATGTAATTTAACGTTATTTAATCTAATTTAATCGCTCCGAACCGAATTTTAATTAAACCTACCATAAAATTCTATAAATCCTAACTAGCACATAAATCAAGTCGATTTCTAGTTCGGACGCTGATAAGGCTTTCAATTCGCAATTTAAAGTCAAAGACATGAATAGATCATTTTATCACAAACAGATAGAAACATATAAATAATGCAATACACATGCAAATAAATCCCAAATCCTTCCTAAATTACTATTAAGCATAATTAATCATGAATTAGCATTAATCGAAGGTTGGGGTCATTACAATTACTTTATTACAAGCTTCCCTCAAAGCAATGGTCAAGAAAAAGCATCCAATAAGGTTATCTTGGATGGGATCAAGAAGAGGCTGGAAGCAGCAAAGGGTAAGTGGGTGGATGAGTTGCCCAGTGTATTCTGGGCATATCGAACTACACTGAGAAGATCAACTAGGAAATCCCCATTTGCCATGGCTTATGGCACAGAAGCAGTAATCCCATTAGAGATCGACATTCCAAGTATCAGAATCCAGGGAGTGGAGAATGAGACTAATGACGCATTTTTAGCCCGAGATCTGGACCTATTGGAAGAAACAAGAGAGAAAGCGGTAATTCAGCTGAGGGCATACCAACAGCAGCTTGCTAGGGCTTACAACAAAAAGGTCAACCCACGAGAGTTTCAAGTTGGGGACCTTGTCCTGAGAAAGGTCATCGGCAACAAAAAAGATCCCAGAGAGGGCAAGCTTGGCCCAAACTATGAGGGACCTTATAGAATCATCTCGGTCCTGGGCAATGGGGCATATCGGCTTGAAGATAGTGAAGGCAAAGAATTGTCGAGACCCTAGAATACTTGCAACCTGAAGTTTTTCTATCATTAGATTTTTTTTTTGTTTTTAAAGTTTTCTGTTATTAGCCGAAGTAATTAATAAAATTTTAGCTCGATTTTTTGATTTCAAACTTGTGTAAAGCAATTAACCAGTCACTTGGCGATGTTTCTGACTAAAACATGACGAATAACTTAGACTTATTATATGACAGAGTTGAATTATACTTGCATATAATAGAGTTGAACTAAGTTGGTGATGCTTCTGATTAAAACATGACGAATAACTTAGACTTATTATATGGCAGAGTTGAATTATACTTGCATATAATAGAGTTGAACTAAGTTAGCGATATTTCTCATTGAAACATGATGAATAATTTAGACTCATTATATGACAGAGTTGAAATTATACTTGCATATAATCAAGTTGAAATTAACCTAGATTTGCTAAGTCGACAGAATGAAAACTTTGAAAAACACTAAGTATATATCAGTTAGACTAACAGAGAGACCGAGGTTGATAACCTCGGCCAGCCTTTGTTTGAATCTGATCTCGACAACAAGATCATAGGTACATGCTTAATGTGAACATAAGTGAAACTTAAGTTCACAATGGGGGGCAGAGAGCTGGAGAATAATACTTGGGAGTTGGAATTTACAAGCTTAAGTTGGTTTAATACTTGTACAAATTTTAAGAAAAATTTACAAGTTGAAGTTAAGCCGAGTTTATGTTGAAAAAAGGTTCGTTTAACACTTGTTGAAATGTTTTAAGGAAAATTTACAAGTTGAAGTTAAGCTAAGGTTATGTTGAAAGAAGTATCCACGTACTTGTCAAGATTACCATGTTGCCAAGACTTGGAGGCTAATGGAAGACAGAAGTCTTGATAAGAAAAAGTGAAGTAGCAAGTTTTAAATAAACACTTGGGAAAATATTTCTACAAAATGTTTTCAAGGCCAAGATAAACAGTTAATGGGTATATCCGAGGTATTTTACCTCGAAGAGATTGCACAGTTAAGGTGTACGTTAAAGACATGCAAAATATTCAGAGTATGAAATCATACAAGACAGTAAAGGAAAGACAAGCATTCAAACACTTAATAAAAAAAAAAGACTTGCATTCAAAAGGAAACAAAGAACTTCGGCTTACAGAGGATTACTAGTGTAGAATAC